TTTGGAGGGTCGGGGAGCGCGGGTGTCTGACGGACGCCCGCCTTCCTGCTGCGGGGCTGCGCGTCTGAGGCGTTGGCAGGTGTCGGGGAGCGCCTGTCCCGTGGCGATGTCGGCAGAGCTCGTTGTGTCGCTGAATGGCGGGGGGGGCTGCAGGAGCAGCCGGCTCCGCGGCAGAACTCGCCAGAGCAATAACTGGCTGGGGCGGTGGGGGTGGCTGGGAATGGCCGCGGTTACTGCTTCGGTCCGCGCTGGCAGACGTTCAGTTAACAAATACGATCTCTGTTTTTCTGCTGAAACTCTATGGAGTTATGGGGAGAAATGTGCATCGATTCCTGTGGGAAGGACAGAAATTCTGGGGTTTGGGTGGGGTTTTTTTCACCATTTTATTTTTATGATGCTTTTTTATCTGACTGTATAAGTAAACATGTTATTCCTGATTTCACCGCAGTTTTATTCGTAGCAGGTTTAATTTAGTTAGAATGGTCTTCGCTTACATGGTTATATGTTAATAACGTCTAGTTACACTTCTTATTCAAGGGGTTTGTGAAAGTTGTCAAGAATAAGGCGTACTTCAAGAGATACCAAGTGAAATTCAGGAGAAGGAGAGGTATTGTTAAATTCCTTGTAACATATAATTAAATGTCATTGATGAATACACATTTTCCACACTACAACTGTTGTTTTTCAGAGGGAAAAACTGATTACTATGCCCGCAAACGTTTGGTAATTCAAGATAAAAACAAGTACAACACCCCTAAATATAGGATGATTGTGCGTGTTACCAACAGAGACATCATTTGCCAGGTAAGGCCTGTGGTGCTTGCTACTTGCCTACCAGCCTTCCCAGAGTGAAATAAACAGAAAGGGGATGGTTGAAGCAGCTGGGTTTTTTTAGGCTTGGTCTGAGCAGTTTTTATATTTTAAAATAGTTTCTTAGAGGAGAACAATCTTCAACATTGACACAACTTCAGTAATAAACTGTATTCATGATACAAAATAAGGTTTACTAGTGTCAACATTCTTCAGCAAGGTTATTTGTACTATAAGATCGTACTGTTTTAATGATGCTAAGTAGAAGATTTTAGGGAGAGGAAGATTTCTCTATTTTTGTTCTGCTGTCTTTAAAGTGCTTTGAAAAGAGGGCCTTTTTGCTTGACTGACTACATGACCTGTCAACCTGCATGGACTGTTGCACTGTATCTAGATGTGCCTTCTCTTTTGAGAGTTTTTTTCCTATGATGTTACTTGGATCATATGAAGCAGGTAGGCCTTACGATGGCTTTCCTGTGAGATTAAAGGAGACTGGTAAATAAGAATAATAGGCATTTTTTCATGTGTTGCATCATATGCAGTTCCTCACTGTGGTTCACTTTCTTGTTTCATTTTCAGAATGTTTTGACTAATTTTGAAGTTAAAAACTTAGGCATGTTTGTTCTATCATAAAGACATGTTGTGAAGCTCAAAAAAAAGAAGCTAGAGAAGTTTAACTGTCGTTTCTTTCTTCATAGAATAATTATCTGTTGAGAACAGCGGAGAGTGCTGTTCTTACAGTCAGTTCAGACGAAACTATATGACCTTGACAAGGTTATTTTATCTTTGAAACTCAAAACAAAAATCAGTGGTGGCAGGTGCTGACATCTAACTGATAGTGCCTTTCCAGTATATAGGAATCCTGCAAAAAGGGGGCAACTTTTGGATGTAGAAGGGAGGTGTAGGAGTCAAAAGGAGAAGGTTCTGTATGTGAACGGAACAGTAGAAACATATCTGATAGTACTGCTGTCTCACAGGAGACCCCCGAGATTATGAAAATCTCAGACCCATTAATAATAAAATCATTCTATAAGGTTAGTAACAACGTTATCACAAGCTCTGTGTCTGATGCTACTGCATTTTTCTGAAGTGCGTTACATATACTGTGTTGTATGAGAACTACATACAGAAAGTGGGACAGAATCCATCCACGTGTGTAATGATTCTTTGAAAGGTTGCTTTTGTCAGCAGTTTCCTGGCCCCTTGATGCATGTAGAGAGGTAAATAAAAGTTGTTGCTGACATACGCTTTCCCTGGGCTAATACAGACTTTAATTCTTTGAGTCTGTACTTGAGGAGTTAATTATACCTTTAAAAAAAACTTAAAAACACAATCCATTGAGCTTGCATGCAAAAGTTGGCATTTTGCTGGACGTTTCTATACAGAATTCCTGTCGGCTTAAGTAGATGTCAAAGAAACAAAAATTGAGCCTGGAATTATTGTGAGAACACTAACAGTTGTTTTGTTGTCAGATTGCCTATGCCAGAATTGAAGGCGACATGATTGTCTGTGCTGCTTATGCCCATGAGCTGCCAAAATACGGCGTGAAGGTTGGCCTGACCAATTATGCAGCAGCGTACTGTACAGGTCTGCTGTTGGCACGCAGGGTAGGTATCTGTCAGATTGTCGGGAAGCTGCTGCTCTGTTTTTCTGGTTTTCTTAAAAAAGAGAAAGCCCACTTTCTTAAGTGGCGTGTTAGTATACATACCTGACTCTGTGGGCTTCTCTAAATACTAACTTTTAGTCTTTACCATATAGATTTGATGGCCTGTTGTGACTGTCAAATCACAGTGAGAAGTATGACAACATGCAGTTTCAACTCCAGCAGCCCAGTTTTAAGTCTCAGCACTTAAGTTTGGTGGAGGGAGGGAATCAGGATAAAAATGTAAGAAATGTACCTTTAAGAGTTTGAAAACATGTAAACAGGATCCATCCATTTTCCATACAAGCTCATGAATAAGTCTTAAGTTCACTGGTGTACCTGTTGGAACAAAAGGTTGAAACTTAACAGACACGCTTACGGTGGTGGTTATTAAAAGCTTTGTTATTAGTATGGGGTGCATAATTTTCGTAAAGAAGTTTGTTAAAAACATGAAGATTCTACTGCAAATTTGTGTTTTAAGGTGGTGGTGATTCTTCATTTTGTCAATAAATGGAAAGAATTTCAGAAGTGCTTTTTTTTCTTTTTTTCCTTCCCCACAGCTTCTGAACAAATTTGGCCTTGATAAGATCTATGAAGGCCAAGTTGAAGTGACTGGTGATGAATACAACGTGGAAAGTGTGGATGGAAAGCCTGGTGCTTTCACATGCTACCTAGACGCAGGCCTTGCCAGAACTACCACTGGAAACAAAGTCTTTGGTGCTCTGAAGGGTGCAGTGGATGGTGGTCTGTCCATCCCTCATAGGTAATCCAGTCTGTTTGGAAGAATTCCTTTAGTATTAACCTGAGATGCTTCTGTATGTGACAGTCTACTTATACTGTCACTTTATTTTGAAATAATTTTGCTATGACCTGGTAACGATTATGTAGCCTAGGTTCTGGGGTGGGTTTTTTTTTTTTGTTGGTTTGTTGGCTGTTTTTTAATCCACAAGTGCAATTCTGATAGTGCTGCTGGGAATCTTGCAACTATCAAGAGATGCTATTAAATTTTTAGAAACTAAAGAGTCATCTTGCTTTTACTTAAAATCATCAAGTGATTGAATTCACTTAAGTAAACATCCTTTAGTATTCTGTTGGTTTAAGTCTTTAGCAAATTGTGTGTATGTATTAATTTCACTGTGAAAAGCTGTACATACCAGGTACAAAACCATTGACATTTGCTACAGTTGTCAATACAATAGTAGATCTGACCAGTCCACCTCACTTAAAATTTCCACGTGGAAGTTTTGACAATTCCTGTCATAGGCTATGAATGACTGAACCAAGATTTTTGGCAGTGTTATCTAACACTCATATTACAGTTGACTGCTTCTTTCTGCTAGCAGCAGTGGGGGAAAAAAAATCTGAGATCTGTTGTGTATTTTCCTTTCCCATGCTGTCCTATTCGTTCTTGACTAATTGTCCAGTTTTTCTGACTTGGCTGCTATATGATGATACTCCCAATGACTGAACACTCTGTAGTTGGTCCATGGTGTGTATATGATGTACTGCACTGTTTCAAGACGGGACTGATGGCAGCTGAGATGAACTTAAAACTTCTATGTCTTAATTTTCTGTATCTCTTCATTTGTAATTAGAGGGTCCTATCCCTCAGTTATCTGTAGAAGAATCTGATGTATCAGTCATTTCTTTGTGGAACCTAGCCTCTGAATTAGAGGATTTGGCAGTATGTCTTAATCTGACTGTAACTGCTGTTTCACAGTACCAAACGTTTCCCTGGTTATGACTCGGAAAGCAAAGAATTCAATGCAGAGGTTCACCGCAAGCATATCATGGGCCAGAATGTTGCAGATTATATGCGTTATCTGATGGAGGAGGATGAAGATGCTTACAAAAAACAGTTCTCCCAATACATAAAGAACAACGTAACACCTGATGGGGTAAGATTTATCTGGCTGGCTCTTGTGCGTTAATAGAGATGCTGATAAGTCTTGCGTAGGGCCTTCTCTGGTAATGCATATAAGCTTGATATGTAAAATGATATGATTCATGTTGTATGTTATCCATGCAAAGAAAATATGTTTTCTTTCATTAAGGGCTCTGTAGTATATTGTAGATCTTTTGAAAGTGAGATCTTTTTTCCTGCTGTGAAGCTTAGCATTCTGCCTATAAATCTAAGCTTGAAAGACTGCATTCTAAGCTAGACCACTCTTCCCCCCACCCCGCGCCCCGATACAGAAATTAACTTGAAGTTTCTATACATGGTACTGGCTCATTTCTAATCGTGCACCACAGCCTGTCATTTCTGCAGCTGTGGTGGTTGCAAATGTGAGGATGTGCTCTAGGTCAAATCTGTTTTATGATTTGTGAGACCCTGTAAGGAGTTCTAGGTCCCTGGTGAATGTACATCAGCCCAAGCCAGCTGTATTGTAGAAGCTAGCATCTCATGAAACTACAGAGTGGGTAATACATCTTATTTTAGTACTACTTTAGAGTACAAAACACCAGAAGGATACCCAAGATCACCAAGGTACTTCTTTCAAGTGTTAAACTCCTTTCAGATGGCCTGTCTTGCTGCCTGTGATGTTCTTGCTTGGTTTCCCCCATTAGTGGTCCTGAAGCTTGAAACAGATGTTCTCATGTCCCCTTTTTAGGCTATGGAAAACTTGAATTGATTCTTTATCCCTTTATTGCTGTGGGGTTTTGGGTTTTTTATAAACTTAACTAATTGCTAATTTTTTGTAACTTAGTCTTTACTAAAAAATACGTAATGTTGTGTGGTAGATGCCAATCTCATCTATTTTACTAAACAAACAATATTTATAGTTTGTATTGCAATGAAGTGGGTCCAGGACTTATGTCAAGAGCTAGACAGTTATTCTTTGTACATCTAGAAAATTTTTCACAGCTGGGGTCTAGTGGTCTTAATTAACCACCAGCAAAGGTATTCTTAAAATTGGTGCCATTATGGAGCCATAGTTGTCTTTGGGACAGAGCAGCAGACAGATGGAGATCCTCTGGTACCTTCTGTATTGATCTATGTAACTGGACAGATCACTTCCATTTTCCTGTCTTACATGTTAGAAGAATAGTTGCGCAAGTACAATGACCTGCTATATAAGCTGTCAGAAATTGCTGTTCGGGTGTAGCCTCTGCTAATGTATTTCTGCAGGGACTGTCATGCTTTTTGCAAGACTTGTTAATCTGTAGCTGCCTTCACAACTTCTACTCCTTCCCTCTTACTAACCAGCTTTGTAACCTGTAATACAACAGAGTCTGAAAAGTGGTAAGATTACATGTCTGATGACAGAGTTTGTGTGGAGTAATTTTGGTTTTAATAAGTAACATGAAGTATTTTATCCTAGGCAGAAGTAGAATAACTCTCTAGACTGCCTTTTAATTTAAATGTAGAGAAGCTATGGCACTGAAAGTAGGCTTCAGAGGAAAAAGTATTTCAACTGCAAGATGCTAGCCTATATTTAAGAGACTTGTAAGTAGTCTGTAATTACTCTATGGCCTTGGTTCCCTAACTGTAAAATAAGGATAAAATTACTTTCTCCATTTTGTGTCTAGATTTAAATTGTATTACAGTGATAGTAGGAATTTCAGTATGCTGTGGCAGTGATCTTCTGTATGAAGAAAGTGTTTTAAAGGCAACCACACAAAATTACAAGGTGTATTGTGATGAAACTTGCTTCTAGTGCATGCTTGGGTAAGGGTGTCTTGGATTTTTTTATATGATCGTACAACTGGACCACTATGGAGAATTTACCTTTTTTTTTTTAAAGATGGAAGAAATGTATAAAAAAGCCCATGCTGCTATACGGGATAATCCAGTGCATGAGAAGAAACCCAAGAGAGAAGTCAAGAAAAAGAGGTAAAACTCTTATGCTCTTTAACACGAATATGACTTCACTATTGAAGATCTTTTAGTTACATTAAAACAAGTAATGTGACTCACAGTGCAGTTGTGTCAAAACTCACATGGTTTAGATCAGATTAAGATACATATATCTCTGTCAGGAGTTAACATTAGCAGTAGGAATGTAAAATTTAAGAGCCTTTAACGATATTAAAAAAAATTTAGAAGTGGAGCATGCTTGAATCAGCCTGAATAGCTGAAACTCTTAAGTATGTATCTTCAGGTCTTAGTGTTTTCAGTGGGAAAGCTGCTTCTCTTCAGGAGAGGGCAGGCTCACTAATTTGTCAGTACTAAACTATTTTGATTTTTCAGGGGTCTGTGAGAAAAGAAATAAAGGCACCGCTATTGCATTGGGCTTGATACTGTCTATACTTTAGTTACAAAAGAGTACTGAGCTTACCTCTTGAGGAATTAAACTGCTGCAGTCTAACCCTGCCTTTTTGTGGTGGCCTAACTACAGCCTTGAATCATTATGAGGAAATAAAGCATGTTATAGAAGTTGGAATATGTTCTAGTATAGCACTCTTAATCACAGTTCTGGTGCACTGCAGCTTTCTTGACCACCTTTTTTGCTTATTTCTGCTTTGGATGTATCATACGCTGTGCTTACATTGCAGATGGAACTGTCCCAAGATGTCCCTTGCCCAGAAGAAAGATCGTGTTGCTCAGAAGAAGGCTAGCTTTCTCAGGGCCCAGGAGCGCGCAGCTGATAGTTAAGACAACTTCCACAATTTTCTATGAAGCTTTGGAGAAAGTGGCAATAAATTTATTGAGTAAGCAACTGTGTTGGACTGGCTTCTTAATATATCTTATAAAGATGCAGAATATTTTTTATGATCCAGATATTCTGTAGCCTTAAGGGTTTTTTCCCCTTCCAAGTACTGTATGAATTAAACTCCTTCACAGAGAAGGTAACAGACTTCAAAACCAAGGCTGCTGCATTAGAATTATTCCCGTAAGAAGGGGAAATCAATTTGATTAATTTTTGGCATTTCTAGTATCAAAGATAAGAGATTGATTTTTGGCATTACTAGTATCAAAGACTAGATATAAGAATGTGCTGCTTCTAACTACAAAAAGATTTTAAGTTTTTAAGGGTGGCTTTACATGTCCTTCACCATTTTTTCTTCCAGCTTCTTACTGTTATGGGGGAATCTGTATGTAACTTAAGAAAAAATGCAGTAGTCATCACAGTAGGTTCTAAAGCTGCTGCCTAAAGGCAGCCTTAACCTTTCAGGAACACATATGGCAATACTTTCCATGTAGCTGATACAGGAATGCATGTCTAATTGAAGTATTTAAGCTTCCTCCAGTGACTGAAGTAAGCACTTCCCACACACTCAGCTGCAGGCTTTGGCTGCTACTGAAAACAGGTACTGTCTTAAGCTAAATACTTCACATTATTTAGTGATTAGACAAGTTGCATATACATGCTTAGTTACAGAGGCCTTGACTTGCCCCATCCCTTATTTTCTCCTACATCTCAGTTTCACAGGCACTTATTTATTTGTTTCCCATTAGACTTACTGAAGTTGCTTGCACAGTTAAAATGTGAGTCAAGTAGGCTAAATGGAGGAATGTTTTGCTTTAAGATAGTGATAGATGGTAAGTACTGCTATTGAAAGAGAAAAGGAGGCCTGTGATTTATTGCAAACAAAACAGTATGGTTGGTTTTTTTTTTCCAATGAAAGCTCCAACTTGGTGCAACAGCAATAAAAATGAAGGTTCTGTACAACAAACTGCACTATTGAAGATGTTTTCCAGTTGTTTAAAATACCCAACATAATTTTAGATTCAATAATCTTCTCTGCCCAAAACCTAGTAGCAATTACAGTCAGATTTTTCCACCAAGAACATAACCACTTTACATTTGAGTGCATTGCTGGCTACAAATACTTATTAGCTTGCCCTTGGAGGACATATCAACTTAGAGACAATAATTAGCATTAGCATAGTAATTCGTAAACAAAAAAGCTGATGTTTACAAAACAGTACACTGTTAACCCAAGCTGCATACTATTACATATGGTATGGAGAAATGACTTTATGTTGGTCCTGTACTTTGGTTTAATCATTCAAGGAATGCATTTAATACAGGATACGTAAAGCAATTAACAACCTTTCAAATATTTAAATAAAGCTTATCCTTCTTACCTATGCTGAAAATGAATTAAGGGGCCAGGATTTAGAAGTATATGGATGACTGCCATTAAAATCATTAAGAACTGAACTACAATGACTTATAGATGCTACTATAAAAAAAAAGAATAGTAACACACTACAGCTCACTTATGTTCCACCTCATTCCTAGCTGTTACTATCTCATAGGCTCCCATTTAAGCAATATTCCATGATCCTGAACAATCCAGCTTCTGTTCTACAGTTCAGGTCTACCTCTGGCTTACATACTTCCTGCAGTAGTTCAAGAGGATTTAAGTAAATTTGGAGAGACAGGAAAGAGTCAATACTTTATCTACAACTATTACTTGTTTCACATGTCATACAGCAGATTCCTACACTATGCAAGCTTTCTTTTTTAACTGTTAGGACTTCTGCTACCAGTATTTTAAAAAATTAATTAACTTCAGTTCTCATAGTTGAGTTCTCAAACTCCTTACTTTTCAATATTTGCTACAGCTTAATTTGGGTTAAAGGTTTCAACTGAAGTACAATAATCTACAGTTTTTGAAACAGATGTTGATATTGCTGCTAGACTATATACATGATTTTAAGAAAACATATTCTAAAATTCTTGGCTTCCAACATGGTTCACTGTATAAGGACTTAATTAAAAAGTGTTGAACTACTTAAACATTCAAGACATAAGCATGAGGTAACAAGGTGTAAACAGAATCTGATTTAAGTCTCATAATATAACCTGTCAGTTCTAGAATAAAATTCTAATTTTCCACAGTTTAAAAATCATTAATGTGCAAATTCTGCCATGCCAAGGTATTAGTAAACTTCAGTCTCACAGTTCAGTTTATTCACAACAGCAGCTTGGACTCAGATACATTATTTGCAGTAGTGGTGGTTCTTCGTAAAACTACTTGGGACAAAAATCTTTTGCAGGTATTTCACAAGTGAGCAATGATTTTCACAGAATTGTAGCATGTTCCATCAGTTGATGTGGTGGCACAGTGAATACTTTCATCCTGTTCAAGATCTGACAAAGTGCACAGAACAGTCAAGCATGCAGGGTTTTTCTTTCCGTAACACAGCATTGGAACACCAGAAGCACTTCTGGCCTCTACCCAATCATTCAGTGGCACATTCATTCTTTGAGAAGCCCTGTCGTGTAAGATACTGACTGAAGGGCAAGAGAGTTAAAGAGCCATTCATGAAATCTGATTAAAACGTCTTTAAAAAATGCTGCAGATCATTTTTATCAAATGCAGTAGGCCACCTCTAGTGGCAGGCATCAATATTATCTTCTGCTGGTGGAGAAGCTAAGAATCATTTGTATGGGAAATTTTCTTCCACAGTAAAGTTTTTAAGTTATTCAGTATTAAAGAATGCTCCATTTCCATCTGATTTGCTGTGACTTTAAGAGCAATACACAAGTACAGTTGTTTTTCTAGTTCTTCATGGATATCAGAAGGAGCACCACGAAGCAGATAGTCTTTAAGTAGCTGACAGGCTTTTGCCAAGTTTGGCTGAATTACTTCTGTGGTACATCTCATTTTGCTTTGGTCACATAGAGTTCTACAGTCTGTACCATAAATACAGTCCAAATCTGATTCACACTGACGATCTTTAATTATTTCCTTCAAATTCATTTCTGGCACAATTTTTCTCATGTCCATCATTTTCAAATCATGTTTATCATTATATCCCAAGTTTTTGGCACTTGTATCACACATAAGAAAGTTTCCATAAGGTCCATGGAAAATATCTTCCACAAATTCTAAAAGCCCTATAGCTATTTTTGCCTTTCTTGGCCATGATGGAGTAAACCATTGGTCCATGCTTCTTCTGAAGCCAGAGGGAATGAAAAGTTCTATAATCCATGGAAGGCTGATTCCATAGAGAGAGGTATATTCAACTCTTTCGGTCACATAGAGATCCCCACAAAAACCCATCAACTTGGGAGTATGTTCTTTATCCTGCAAGATCACCATTAACAGAAACTCATCTAGCTGCAGAAGTGCCCATGCAGATTTCGCTTCTGGCAAAGAAACTCTACCATCTTTGTTTCCATCAGCAAAAGATAGGATGAGATTAACCAGTTCTGAAAGATTTCCTTGTTCACCCAATTTTTCCTAAAAGCAACAAATGAAAAACAATGAGTATGATTTCATTAACTACCACCAATCCACCTGTCATTGTGCCTCCTGTTATTCTCCTTCTATGGATAGTATGATAGGGTATGTTACGTTCTAGTTTTCACTGGATATATAGATGTTACAGGAGTTGCTACCCAATGCCTGAAGAGCTTCCTTTTTGTTCTGTTTTCAAAGGCACCAAGTATATGATCTTCTGAAAGTACTAGTGTTCTTTGCGTTTCAAAATGCAAACATTAAAATTCAAACATTGTTCTTGGTCAGTCTTTAGAAAAATCGTATCAAGTAGCTTGTTAAATATTCTCTTACAAAAAGTATGTAGAATTCAAGTGTTTAGAGCAGGTTTAATTTTCAGCTGATTAAACCTTACAGGTGTAGAGAAATTACAGTATCAACTACATTTTGGCCATATAGAAAGTACCAAGACATACTGGGTACAAATCCCATACGGTAAGTGTACTGAAATACTTAATTTTGTTATTTGATATAACCACCTCCATTGTATCAATACAGAGAAAGAAGCCATTGCTGGAATCAGAACCGTTGCATTTTCAACTACCACCAACGCACACAGAAAGTCAGATAAAGTTTTTCCAAATTCTCCTAAAAATCACTCTAAAACCACCTGCTGCTCACCCATTCTTAGAAACAAAGCTACTGTAATGCATGAAAATTGTCATCAGCTTTACATAATTATGTTACATGTGTGTGCATGTGTACGTATATGCTCGCTCAGCTAGAACAGCATTATTTTCATCACTGGAGACATAGGAGCTATGACAATAGCAAGAGAATTTTAAGAAAGAAAACCCAAAATCAGTATTGACACAGCATCAAAATGACGACTATGTTATGAAAATTTTGGGGTAGCATTAAAGCAATAGAAATAAGTGTCACATTAAAATAACACAGAAAGAACTAGGACAAGTATAGCTGGTCATTCCGGTTAGAGAGATTCCTGAAAATAATATAGTAACTCTTCGCAAGCATGAACAGTTTTCAAATTGTGCTTCAGTCTTTGTACCTAGTTACAATAACCCCCAAAGCAGCAAAAACTACATATTTTTACCGTATTTTCTATACAAATACAAGTGAAAGCTGTAGACATGCAAGATGCATACCAGCTTCCATATGTTAAAAAATAAGGGAAAAACCTGATAATTAGTTACTTAAAACTTTGAGATAAGGACCTCTGAGAAAAACTATTTTTGTGCTGATTATTTTTCTAACATGCACTTGAACAAGGCTCCTACAGTAGGGCATTCCCTCCAGCTGCAGGAAAATAACCCTTTGTAAAAATAGAATAAATAAGCATATACTTACTTTAAAAAGACCATATACCATTTCTTTGAATTTCTCAACAGTGGTCCCTCTTGTTGGTTTATCAAATAGGACTATTTCCTTCCTTGGTTCTGGGTCAGTACCAAAGTCAAGTTGAGCAGCTTCTTCCATCTGGCATTTTATAACACCTTGCAGATTTCCCCAGATTCCTAAATACATCTATGCAGGAAAAGAGGGAAAAAGGTAAAAAACACTGCAAAAGTCCATCATCTAAAGACCACCTGTACTCCAACCACTGCGTCAAGAGTCAAGTAACAACACAGATTAGAAAACTGAGAGTAGAAAACTGAGCCCTGCGTACCGACAATGCACAGAGCACATTCAGACAATGGCAACTTCAAATACAATACACTACTGCAGGTACTAAGGAGACATGACACCGTCAAAATACAAAGACAGCTTGATAAACAGTATATTGGCATTACTACCATCTTTGCATAGGTTGTTAAGAGGCTGCTGCTTCTATTTGGGAAGCAGAATAGCAGAGAAATAGTATGCTGTACAAAAGTATAAGTATCCTGTCAAAACATGGAAGTATCCAGTATTTTATATATATGTTT